CCCCCACGGCCCGCATAAATAGGGCCGGGCCGGACAGCAGGTGCGAGGGCGGCACCTGGCGCGCAGGTGTCCGGGCCCGGGGGAGACGCGGCCGCTGCAGCCGGAGCCCAGAGGCGAGAGCGGTCTGCACCTTTAATGGTCAGCACTGGGGTATACAGCGAGCGGGGGTTACAGCGACGGGCATGCGATACACGAAACAGGCTCATCTCGACCCGGCGCTCACAGACAGGCATAGACATTAAGGGCCGGAGGGAACCTGGAGTCCAGCAGCCCTGCTCCGGGCAGGAATACCGCTGAGAGCGAGGGAGCCTGGCAAGGGCCCTGTCCAGTGTCCTCCTGGAGGCTGCCAAGGTTGGGGACTGCGCCGCCGCCTTGGGAAGTCTGTTCCAGATGTGCAGGCTCATCCCGCCTGCGGCTACAGGCTCATGCAACCAGGCGGCCCAGGGCTGTGCATGGGGCCCTTCCGCGTGCCTGGCCGCGCTTGCTGCACCAGTGCCCAGGCTGGGAGTGGGGATACATGTGCACGCACACACACAACAGAGGATGCATTTGGGAGGGACAGCAGCAGCTGGCACGATAGAAAACACACAGTCACTGTGGCGCGGTTGGGAGGCTGCTGGGCTGGTGGGTGCCCAGCTGCGTGCAGGGTCCTGGCACTGCACATACACACACACCACATCGACACAAGTGTCCCCTGGCACAGCCCACCTCCTAGAGCGCCGTCTGCGCCAGCTCCATGCACACGGTGTGGGGCTCCTCTGCGGTCACGGTGCCATAGGAGGTGTCAGCCATTTCCTCCTCTTTCAGTTTCTTGTAGGAAATATCTGTATCATCTTCTTCATCGAGGAGCTCCTGCTTATAGGTGTCTTGTCCAAACATCTTGTAGGCCAGCACAAACAGTCCAGCCTCTGCGGCCTGGAAAAGGGCATAAAGCAAGGGGAACATATACATGCTCCCAATGAGCTCGGGAGGGAAGGTTAATTTCAGGATGGCAGTGCACAGCTGGACATTCTGACATCCTGTTTCCAAAGACACTGTCCTTTTGCAGTGTGGTGGCAGGTGAAATAGTGTAGCCAAGCCGTACCCAGAGGCATAGCCAGCCATGGGCATCAAGACTGCTACCACGTAGACAGATGCAGGGATGCTTGCCAACAGTTCTGGTCCCAGCATCGTGCCCGTCAGAATGAAAAGAACCACCAGCGTGACTAAAAGTGACCACAGGGAAACCTGGCAATAAATAACATTAGATAAAAGTCAGAGGGAGGGGGAAAAAGAGAGGAGACAAAACATTACAGCTGTAACTAAAAGCAAATCAATAAAATGCACTGATATTTAAAACTAATATAATAAGGAGAGAATTTAAGTCAAATCTGACCTACAACAAATGTCTCCAGTAAGTGAATAGAAAAAAAGAAGAAATGAAGGAGGAATATTGAAAATGGCCCTTTTTTAAAATTCTAAATGTCCTTGCATTCGTAGGTCTGCAGGCTCTCATTGCTGGACTGGGCCATCCTTATTTAACTCTCAGGCTCATCTAAAATTTCATCAGGCTTGGAAATCAGGCTCAAGGTAAGCAGGAGTTTCAGACTCTGGACCTTATTTAGTTTTTAACACCATAGCTTATAGAAGATACTTTCCTGGAAAGAAAGGGAAAAAACACTTTATTTGTTTTTTGTTTTTAAATGATACTATGTCTTTAGGAGAAACCCCTACAAGCTAAACAGTTTTGTTGTAACATTTTTAAGGTGATGTTTTAAAAAAAAAAAATCTATCTTGTGGAAGGAGTTGTATGCCAAGTTTAAGCTTCAGCCATGAAATCTGGGAATTAAAGGTACCAGGCATCCAGGCTTTTAAAGGATAGATATTTTTTCCTCATTCTGGAAGTTGAAAAAGACTGTACATGTCCTGAGCAAAGTCTTGATGCCACTGAACTGAATGGCTATCCACTTTAACTTAGTGTCTGGGTTTGGTTCTCTTGTTTGGGGTGCATTTTGGGGTGCCTGCCATCCCCAGAGCCCCCTGAGCTGGGTTCTCTTGCTGTGCTTGGTTCATACTGGGGCCATCAAGTGGTTTTTGCAGACTTATCCAGTTCTTTGAGGGTTGTTTTGCTTTGCCTTTGAGCTTGTTTTTCTTGAAAGCTTAGGTTTTAACAGGCATTTTCATTCCTCTATTGCTGTCCTCTGCAAATGTGTGTGTGTGTGTGTGTGTGTGTGTGTGTGTGTGTGTGTGTGTGTAAGTAAAAGGCTTTTTTGACAGTACTTCACTCTGGTAATTCTCTATGTACAGGATTACCGGGGCTTTTCTTTTGTCCTCATACCTCCTCCTTTCTGAAACCTTCCCTTCCCCTCGGTTTCATGCACTAACAAGATGCTTGAGGTCATTCATTCCTTTTGTTCCCTGCAACCATTTTTTGCTTGACTTCAGTTTGCCTGATCCTGCTGGATCCTCCAGCCCCTCCGGAACCTCAGATATTATTTGCAGATGAAATACACTTTACGAAGTCATTCCCTCACGTGTTAGTAGCATTTCCCCTACTATCCCTTGCAGGCTGAAGGCACCCCCATGTCCCAAAACAGGCTCACTGAAGTGTGCCTGCTTCCAGCTAAGTAGAGAAGAATGAGCCCCCATCCTCTGCCGTGTCTGGGATGGATATCTGGGGGGATGGAGTTGACCTGGCTTTGGGAGGACGGGGCGGTGCGGGAGCTACTGGAGGTCCCTGCCACCCCCGGCCTCTCTCCCTCTCCGCTGGAAGTGCACCGGCTTTGATCGCCCCGCTGAAGGGGGCTGTCAAGATCCTGCCGGTTGCCCGTGAGCTCCCCTTGCTCCAACCCGGCGGCCCCCCCGTCCCCGTCCCCGTCCCCCGGGAGGGCGCCGAGCTGCG